ACGAAAGCTCTGAACGAAAAGAATGATGTGTCTCGTGTCTCTCAAGCAAGGGCGATACACTGGACCTCTCCGGTACGCAACAGCGACGAATGGAGACGTTACTGTCGCCCGCTTGAGGAAATCGATGGTCAACGGGACGACAGGTGGTGCCTGTGACGTGCTCACTTTGGAGAATTCCGCAAAGTTACAACGTTTCATTATTTGACATCACTTTTGATCTCCTAGGGAGCAAATCATAGATGCTGAATTAGATTTTCATATAGTATGAGATTCATAAATTAAGTTTTAAGGCCTTACTCAACACACGGGAAAAGCCATATCGACACCACGGCAGCTTTCCGACTACAGCACTGATGCCTCAGGGACGAGCGGTCTGAGTCCGATTGTCAAGCAAAGGCTCATCAAAGCACATGGTAGGATGAGCCTACCTAATTTGAATTGTTCTCTAAAAAACTGGTATTAAGAGTAAGCATTTAGCGGTCCAGAAAGAATATTCTTGGCAAAATACCTTAATTTGGATTTTAATGACTGAGAAAGCAGGTGTGCTACATCCGGCAGGGTCTACTGAAGCAGCTTGGGCACAGAGCCCACTGCATGAGCCCTAGAAGAGGGGAATTCTACCTTCATTCTTTCTCATTTTGCCGGTTTGCCCGTAGTGTGTAAAAGGGGTTGGCATCTGTGTTCCTGATCAACATATTGAGCTGCGTAGAATATTCTGAGCAGGATAACTGACGGGACAAGAGCTAGCGCGGAATCACGCCATCCTTAGACTAAAATGTTGATATTTTTCTTATTTTTTGCAGCGATTCTTATGATCATCTCATGGTTCTTCTTCGTACCGACAGCTGTAATGTTTGCTCGATTTTTGCGAGCCAGCTGGCCAACAGTGAAACCATGTGGTCTTCTTATATGGTTCCACGTGAGTTCTATCACAATATAAATTTGCGGATCTAATATTCTATTTAAATAAGTAAATCTACTCGCTTGATTTTGCGTTTATACACTTACTCCTTTTTTATTTTCAACGTTAACCAGGCGGCTATGCACGCTATCGCGTGCGCTATGGGATTTAGCCATGAGGGACGGAGCCACATGAGCTGATTTTCATTATAGACCTTTATCGGATTTATGAGTTTCCGCTCAAACCCCACCTCCTGTGGGCGGAGTCTGGTCCTGCCACCTGTGCTCTCACAAAATTGGAACGCTCTAGTTCCACTGTGACAGGATCTATGAATTTCAGCTCAAACCCCGCCCATTATGGGAGGAGTCTGGTTTTGTTACCCACAATGAATGTTCTTATCCAGCCGCCTATACTCCTTCCAACTTTGAACTTTCTAGGTACACGGGGACAGGAGATATGATTTCCCAGAATGTTTTCTTAAAGCATTGCATTTTTGGAGAACGCCCGACCCATCGGGGGTGGGTCTCCCTANTTCGATCTAACTTACCAATGCACACCTCTAGCCACCTTTACACCCCAGTTTTGCAGCCATATTCTGACTGAACTTGAAATCGTGGTCCTCAGTACAGTTCATTTCGATGCACGCCACGCCCTCTGTGTGCGGCGCCAAGCTGATGTGTGCTTTATACTTCCCGGGACATGGCCCACCCAGCTCACGCTTGACCCTGTCTTTCCAGGCAGTCTAAAGGAGCTAGGGAATTTCATGAGAGACTTACAGACAGATAGACGACAGACGGAGGTGCTTAATAGTAAGTAGGATGTAAAGTGTAACTTACACTTGGTAATAAGTTGACGAAGGAGGGCGACAAACCCTGGCACTTCTGAGACTCGCCAAACTGTTAAAAGACGGAGCCAGGGAAATCAAGGTGGTGCAGTAGTCACTCAGCTGTATAGGCAGAAGCAAGTGGTGCCAACACGAGTAACAAAGATCGCAAGATCGAGCCAAATGAGGTTTTGAAGGCTTAGTTTGCGATAATTTCAAATGTCTTAATAGGGTTATATATCACAGGTATTAATGTTAAGAGATCGTCTTTAACGAATTTACCGAAAAAAAAAACTTTCAAATATGACAATCACCACTGTGGTTGGTAATGCTATATTACATATTGCTATCTACTATATACTGCTAACTATTAGCATGTATCAGCTGACTGTGTTAACAACAAATGTGCTCCATTGAGAAGGACCGCAGCCTCTACAGTGTCGTCAAACACGTCCTTTTTTGAGGATCTAGAGCGGCAGTATGTAGGCATCGGGAACGGCTCATGGGCCCCTAACTGCCCTGTCTGATCGGCTTTTCAGCCAGCATTACTCCATGCGACCATTCTAGGGGCATCCCCTCCAATACGAAATCTCCTGAACAAGATCCTTCACAAACTGAGTTGTAAATCTTCAATCACTACGAGTGTTGGGTCGTTTCCGTCGAGTAGAAGACTCACCTCGAGATGAAATCCTCGACAACCACACTGACAGGCTTCTCCAAGTAAGTTTTGACATGAAAACAAAGCGGTTTAAAAGTCTACTTCAATCAAATGAATAATATTAAGCGCGTCATGAATTCCTGGCGTACCACACAAACGGAACTGTTCAATACTAACCCTCCCATTTCTTATTAAACTACCCCAAGACTCGATAGTTATATTCAGAACAGTCACAGTAAATTATTATTGTTTGGAAAATATTTGGAAAATAATATTTTTTGAAATATTCCTTTTTTGTAGGTTCATCGAACATCTAATCTGATTGGAATCGCATGCAATGTGGCCTCATTCATATGCATTCTTACAGCAAATAATTGGGAATGGACTGGACCAGGTAGGTAACTCCCTTGGGAACGTGCGTTACATTCGATGTAGATGCCAGATGGGAAAACCGATAGTAAAGCACCATTCGCAATAGTGCTTCTTAACAAAAGAGGCTATCAGTTGCAATTTGGATGAATCTAGTTTTTTACTCTAATCTGCTCTTCCTTTCAGGATCCCAATCGAGTAAATGGGGTAAGACCCACTCAATGGTCGGCATTTTCGCTCTCTGTTTGGCATGGATTCAACCTTTCATCAGTGCCATGAGGTAGGGCCACTTTAACTGTTGAAGTTTCTTTTCATT